CCCCTTCCCCCCCCCAACAGACTTACCAGCCAAACGATGTTCTCCACTCCAAGCTTCCGGGCTGCATACTGGCATTCAGATCAGTATCGGCCAATATGGTTTGTTAATAATAGAACACCCATATTGGCCCAAAAATCTTTATCAGTTGCACCCCTAATCACAAATTGTCTTTTCTGTTAGGCTTCTGCTTACTTCAGTGCATAGGATGGGTGTGCTCCTGGGTTATGTATTGAAGGAAACTATTTGTAGAACTTTTTACTTTTGTTAATGAAAACTAGCTGCACTTTAATGAGGCAGGGAACTGCAGGAAGAGAAAGGATGATCTCTTGTTTAAGGTACCTGTATACTTACTGAATTGTGTTGTTGCCTCTGCCATAAAGTTTCAAGGTGATGTGATGGTAAGCAAGTTGCATTGTTTCACAAATGTTTAATAATTGTATGTTCACAATTTTATGGGCTCCATTTGAAGCATCTGGAGTCTAATGTACAAAAGCTCTCAGTACTCATAGTTATTAACTGAAGCCAGTGGCAGGTCTGTCCATATATACTGCTATAAGAACACTGAACAAATAAAAAAAAAAAAAAAAATCGGGTCTTCAATACTTCAAGTTGGACACCTAAAATTACGGGACATTTTTAACAATTTTGGCCTTAACACTATTTCAGTGCTTCACAAATAATAAATTTAATTTTGAACTATTCCTGTAAGGTGGGGGTTATCAATCAGCCCCGTATTATAAGCTGGGAATGCAGGCAGAAAAATGTTGTAGGCTACCATACAGTCCACAAGGAAAAGATTAATAAGCATTCGGTAAATGCAACCATACATATACATGTCATAAATATAAATATCTGGTGCCTTTGAGATAGATGCTACTCTGAATACTGAACCCTATATCTATCTATCCACCTGAGTGGTGGCACAATAAATCAGGTAGGAGGTCTACATTAAATAAACATGGGAATACTGAAAAACTGCTTGCTTGTTGAGAGCGATCTATCCCATGCTCTGAATGAGGCAGACATCCTTGTGGAAAAACAACTAGTTTGCTATCAAGTAATCTGAATATACCTTAATTCTTATGCATAGGAGGACATCCTTAATTCTGGCACTTCTTTAGCTTTTTAGTGATTGACTTTGCTAACTTCACTTTTACTCAGTTTTTTTTATATAGTGAATGACCTCAGCATTTACAAAAATGTTTGTTTCCATTTGTTTCCAATAATATCAAGTCCTGAATTATCAAAATATAATTCCTGAAAGAGTTTGCTAAAGTGTCTTTGAAGGACCTACAAGGCGATATCAGAGATAACTGAAACTTGTTTTCTGTATCTGTTGTTAACAAGTTGGATCAAGAGATTTTTTTTTAAAGAATTTCATTTGCGAATAAGGCAGATAGTAAAGTACCATTCCTCTGTTTTGTTTACCTCCTGTGAATTGATAGCTTTGCCCTGCAATCAAAACAGCTGGTGCCTTCAATATAATGCAGGGCTGTCCAGCTGGTGGCTTGTGGGCTACATCTGACCTGCAAGGGGTTAACATTCAGCTCCTGGGTTCCTGCATGGTTGCTGCATCCTGCATTCTTCCTGCTGCTGTGGCAGTTAGAATCTCTGTGCTCACTCTTCCCTTCCCACCCTCCAGGTTTCTCCTTCCTGCTTCCCAGCCCACCTTGCTAGGAGTGGGCAAGGCAGACTTGGCAGGAGGGTGTTGCATGTGCAGCAGCGTAGAAGAGGTGGGTTGCCCACATGGCAAAAGAAGGGCCTGATTGCCTGCGATTCACAGCCAAGAGGAAGGTTGTGTAGTTTGCACTGCAGGAAAGGCCAGGCTGTACACACAATGTGGGGAGGGAAGTGGGCTGTCTGAGCCATGTGAGGAAACCCAGAGGCTGTCTGTGCAGCTTGTGGCCCAGGGACTTGCTTCCTGCTGTACCTAAACATTCCTGATATAGGGCTTTCAGTGACATGGTAGTCCCAGATATGTTGCATGCTACCAAATCATTGACAAATATTTTTGAAAGAAGTTTTAATCCAATCAGTTCAAATTTATCTACAGTTGCATTCATTATATAACTGGATTCCTAGTTAATAGTGACCTGCAGTGGTTTTTCAGTAAAAGCAGTCTGAAAAGTTCGGATTTTCTCTAGCTTTGGGTTTGCAACAGTCAGCCATGCTTTTCTGTCTGTGTATTTCTCTTTATATGATGCTTAATAATAATATTTTATCTTTTCAACTTCTTTTTTCAGTCAGGAAAATATCTCTACTGCACAGATAAAAATATTGAGGCACATGGGTAGTTTAAGTTTCAAACAAAAACCTGTGATTAAACTGGAAAATCAGCATAGGTTTCCTCAGTCTGGGGCTATAGTTATAAATCCTCCATAGTTGTAAGCCTCTAGAATTGACTGTTATTACTACTACTATTGAAGAATAACATGGAATAATGTAGCTGTGCATCTTCTGGGTTGGGCAAGCTGCTCCCTGCCCTTAGGTTCTTGAGAGTATTCCTGCTTCCTACTGAGAGTAGTTAATGGTATTGGTAAGCAGCTTTAAAATATGCCAGCTGGTTATCTGAGAAGTGCATCTCACTGGCACTTAAGACTGGCTGGGCTGCTTTTCTTTTCAGCTGTTACAATTAAACCATCTTTGACTTGTCACGATGCTGTGTCATTAATTTTGTATCTTTCAGGAGCATTTTAATCTTTGGCTTTTTTTTTTTTTTTTTGAAGGTTGAATAGCTTTTCATTAATAGGGTTAAAGATGTGCAATAGATTAATAAAAATAATAATTCTTAGTTGTCTGCCTTTTCACATGAACATGCCTGTATATAATTTTATCCAGAAAGGAATACAGATGCACTGTAACAAGAATGTTTGAGGTATTTGCCAGTTTCATACTTCAGACTAGATTTCTGAATTCAGCTATATTCATTCAGTTCTCATCACATCTGGCTTGTTGCAGTTTCACTTCTCGTTTTTTCAAATTTATTTTGGTCTTTAAGCAGTAACACCTATTGCATTTTTTTTCCTTTTTACTATTATTATCATCATTCCTTTACAATGTTAAAAAATTCTTTGTTGCTTCTTGTTATTCTTTTAGAACCAGTCATAATAGAGAAGTTTCTGCACTTAGAAGTAAAGTTGCACAGCTGCAGACTGACTGTGATGTTTTAAAAAGGCAACTGACAACTGAACGATTTGAACGGTAAACTGTTGCTTTACTGTAATTGCAGTGAAGAGGTCATTAGACCCCACCCCCCGATCTTGTCATGTCATTAATAGCTTGGAAAAAGTACCTATGGATGTGAGGGTTTTCTGCTGTTTTTAGTCCTGTTTGAGGTCCATTATTCTAAACCTGAAACTTGTTTAATTTTTAAAAAAATAATATAACATATTTACTTGAAGGTGATTTTTTCCCCCAGTTAGCATGCGGGAAAAAAGCTCCTAGTCTTACATTTGCATACAAAGAAACTTTATTTACTATATTGTCTATCATTAGACTGCTGCCAAAAGCAGCGTGTGCTCAGTAATGAAAATCAGCTGTGAAGTTGATTAAATGCAGCCAACATTGAACATAACTATAAAACACATGGCCTGTAGTGGGCAAACGTACTGATTTTTTTTTTTTCTTAAATTTCTTTTCAAGGGCCAAATAAGTTCTGAATTTTGTTGAGCAAAGCCCAATAGTCAAGTTCCAAATTTCAGTTGAGCAGAGCTCGGTCATTCAAGTCTATGTGACTCTACAACTGAGCAGATATCTTCCCTCCTAGACCCATTGGTCTTGGACTTCCCCCAGTCCATGGCAGGCATCCTAAATGCAAGCCCCAGGCTGAGGCCTTGGGGTTCAAATGCCTCTGAGTTTCACTCCTAGCCAGCAGGCTAAGGAGTAAGCCAGAGGGGAAGTATGAATACAATCCCCTATTGCCACAAAATTTTGCCATTAAAACTTGCAGGTCAGCCTGCCTGACTGGACTGCAAGGGACAGGCCTCACCTGGGTAAACCACCTTCATGATCATGGGATCTCCTCTGCCAAGGCTAAGATACTGATTGGAACCATTTTTTTGTGTAACCCTTAAAAAAAACAAAACAAAAAACCCTGCCAACATACGAACGGGCAGTTGTTCCCCCAGGAGAGAATGAGCACTGGGCCTAGAGATCCTGCAATACCAGGGTGGCATTCAGAGAGAGTAAGTTAGTGCAGCCCATCCCATCTGAATAAGATGTATGGTAGCAGCCACTGTGCTCAGTCCTCCTTAGTGCCAACTCTTTTTGAAGTCATGGTGATCCACTGCATTGCATACATTGCGATTCCCTCTTTACTCCCAGAGCTGAGCTGTGGTTTTCTTTCCCACTTCTAATGATTCCTGTTTCTCCACTAGCCTTACATGTTTGGGAAACATCACCGAACAGGGCCCTAAGGGATTCATCCAGAATCCCTCTGTCATCCCTTTTCTCAGCCTGTCACACACGATTATGAGACAGAGCTGAACCAGGTTGTCCTACACCTTATCTGCATATAGGCTGTTTACAGATGTGAAAAGAAAATGGTGCTTTACTTTAAGATTGGCATGATGCTGCACCAAGTGCACAACATGCCCAAAAGAGGCATTGCGTTAGATGGACCCAGCTTACCCAAAGTCTGTATAGATCTATACAGATGCTGCGGAGCCAGGTCGTATTCACGTGTTTGCCTTTTCCAGTAAAGTGCTAATTTTGTGGGGCTTTTTCATGTCATAAAATATATTTTTTTTAAGTACAATATTTTCTTCAGATCTTTTATTTATAGTACTTAAGTGTTATTTATAATAGAGCTTACATAGATCTTTACATTTACTGTGTCCCTTAAATGTCATTGGAACATTTGGACTTAAAGTGTACATATATCTATTTAAATTTATCACCTTTCATCATCTTTTATCCTCTAATTTCTATATATAAAGTAGCATCCTACAACACATTATGAAAGTAATGGTAGTGATAACACTATAACATTAGTATAAATTAAAAATCATTTTAACATCTACTCGGTAGAGAGCGTGCAATTCAGGAGATGCGTCGACATGGTCTTTCCACAGCTTCTCTACGTTCCTCATCTCCACTTAGTTCGACACTAAGATCTCCTTCACATTCTCCAGAGCGTGCAACTGCAAGGTCTGTTGATCGAGTAACAGCAGAAAAGTAAGTTTTTGATTGCATCATTGGGTTAATTGTCAACTTAGAAAGTTAAGGGTGTTTTTTTTTTAAACTGAAACTGAAAAAAGAATCAAAAACCCAAAGCAACTTATGTTTTGGTGTATATGAAATTTTTAAACATTAATGCTAATAATTTGAAGGGTGCTAAAAACATTAAAAGTATTAACTTAAAACACTGCCTGCTAATTATTCTCCAAAAGCTAAGGGATTTCTACTTCTATTTCTTTGTTTATAGAACAGGACTGTCATATAAATTCACAGCTTTTAAAATTCTGAAGTCATTAAAACTTCTCAATAATAGGTCAGGCATGCCTACCCCATGTCTGACTGAGTGGCCTGTACTGGCCAGAACTTGGACATTTGTGCAGCCTAATGAACTTCTTTCCTTGCATCAGTTTTGTTTGTACAGTATGCACTGTATCTCTCCATGTCAAAAGTAGATGATTCTCCAATATCTATACTATATTCAGAAATGTTGGTATACTGTGTAAGTCTCTTGTAAACAGTCCCTGCACCAGAGCTTGCCTATGTAGTCTTGCCTCAAAGATATACAAAAATCATATTGCTCCATTGATGAAAAGGCTATTTTATCTAGCTAACTGACACTAGTATGGTGAAAACTGCTTGTGAGGCTAATACTCTGAGAGCCAGAGGACTTCCTTTTACAATATTAGAGGGAAAAGAACCATTTATCCTTCCTCTTTCTTTGTGCCTTGCAGTATCCAAGCTTCCTATTTTTGTAGAGAAAAGCTAAGGTTGTTGTTCTCCCACATGAAACCAGTAAGGACTACAGGCCAAAAATTATACCCGTCTAACCTACCTTCTGTTCAATGGTAGATTTTTGGCAACATTTGCCTACCATTCAAGCCATATGTAATATAGCAAAATGCAAACGTGTGTGAAGAGATGCTGCTGGCTTCTTTCTTAGTTTTTGCCTCGGTACTTAATGTATAGTAAAAGCTTTGTTATCCGGCACCTGTGGGTAATATGCCGGTTACCTGAGAGGCCTGAACAGGCGTCTTTGCCTGTTCGAGCCGCTGCCCCTCCCACTGCATCAGTGTGCCAGGGCACAGGGAGGGGGGCCCTGTGCAGGTTGTTATGCCCCGGGCCATGGGGGCTCAGCAAATCTGGAAGTGCCATGGTGGGCACTTCCAGTTTCGCTTTTGCTGCGTCGACTGGCATGCTGGTTAATTGAGCATGCCGGTTTGTGAGGTGCCAGATAACACATCTTTTGCTGCAGTGATATTTATGATCAAGAATGTGTCATAATTCAGTGTCCCTGAATCATGATTTTAATAATGATAAGTCTGAAATGCAGGTTTAAGGAGTCTTAATGTTAGCTGCTGGCCCTAGGAACTGCTTATTAACATCAAAGGTGCTAAAATTATATATATATATATATATA